GAACCAGGTAAGAGGGGGTTTCAGTCGTCTGAGTGAGAACCAGGTAAGAGGGGGTTTCAGTCGTCTGAGTGAGAACCAGGTAAGAGGGGGTTTCAATCGTGAGAACCAGTAAGAGGGGGTTTCAAGGAGTCTGTGGGCCAGTTCCAGTAGAGTGTATTCTCCTTTCCCCATGAGCTCTGTGAAGCCTCTTCAGATGGTTACGAGCACCCTGGCATTTCTTCATCATCTTCAGTTTCAAAGATGTCAGCTTCGAGATATTCTTGTAGGGATTAGCCTGGGGGGAGGGGAGGGGAGGGGAAACCCAACAGAAGCACAAGAGTGCCCCAGGCTAGCACTGCCATTCCCTACATCCTAGGTGACTGATTTCTGGCAGACTTAGCATGTGAACGGCATGACAGATGGATGTTTCCATCCACACTCTTGTAATGAGGCAAAGTTTAAGTTGACTGGCTTAGGGCCATGAGGAATGCCAACTGGCATTCCAGACTCGGGTGAGGTGGGGCGCATCTCAGGAAGAAGGTGTTGGAGATCCCTGCAGGTGAGAGTGGCATTACCTGGATGGTGGAGGGAGGGTGGGGTGGAAGGGGGAACCCATTACAGGGATCTATACATAACCTCCTCCCTGAGGGACGGTCAACAGAAAAGTGGGTGAAGGGAGACGATGGACAGTGTAGGATATGACAAAATAATAATTTATAAATTATCAAGGGTTCATGAGGGTGGGAGAGCGGGGAGGGAGGGAAAAATGAGGAGCTGATGCCAGGGGCTTAAGTGAAGAGCACATGTTTTGAGAATGATGAGGGTAACGAATGGACACACGTGCTGTACACAATTGATGTATGGATTGTGTTAAGAATTTTATGAGCCCCCAATAAAATGATTATTTTTAAAAAGTGTTGGAAAGAGTCTCCTGGATCTGGGTCAGTGTTGGGAGGTTTTTGGAAGCAGGGCTTGTCCCTGGACTGGGTGCTGTCAGAAAGGAGGATGATTGGCTACCTCTTCTGGAGGTTGTTGGGTGTCATTAGTTGACTCAGACTTCCCACAACCCTGTGTGATGGAGTCCCACTGCCCCTTGGGGGTTCTTAGGCTGCGGTCTTTGTGGGAACAGATCGTCAGGTCTGTCTCTGGAGAGCCAGGGTGGGCTCACACTATCAGTTGTGTCACCAGAGCACCTATCTACAAGGCAGGAGGGACGAAATGCAGCCGAGGCCGTAGTTGGTGAAGCAGCCGCAGCTGCTCATTAGCCAGGTGTCTTGGTGGTCAGTGCTGCTGTAACAGTCATGCCACAAGTGGGTGGTTTTGGCCAACAAATTGATTCTCTCCCAGTTTAGTAAGCTTGAAGTCCAAATTCAAGGGAAGCTGTTCTCTGTCCTCTCCTTTCAGCATTTGTGGGCCTAGTGTCCCTTGGCCTTCTCCGTGTATCTTTCCAGCAGCCTCCCCGGGGTCCCAGGAGTTGTCGGCACTTGGAGGCTTGGTCTAAGGGACGCAGTCCTTTCCTAGGTCTTCTTGCTTGGTTGTAGTCAGTCCCTCTGCTCAGTCGTCTCTGCCATTTCATCTCTTGTAACATCAGGGCTGTGACCTGAGTAAGGGTGGGGCATCTCACCCTTATCCCCTTACAACCGATGGGCAGATCTCATCATTTACCTAACTGCCAAACTACATAAATGCCAGTCCCCTGAGAATCACAGTCTAGTTGACACATAACAGGGAGGACGCGCTTCAGGCCTAACACGGGGATAAGGATGCTGTTGGATCATTTGCTATCGTTTAGGTGGTAGTCTTGGTGGGCTTTTTTCTGAGAGCAGACAAGAGTGTGGCAGGACCTCATTCTTGTCTTGATTCATCACATCACACAGTGGCCTTGTCTGATGTCGGTGCTGTGAGGTGACTGAGCTCAACAAGGGGACACTCCAGCCTGACTGTGAGCACCAGGCCACCTGTCAGATTGCTTTTTCTCTTTCTCCCAGGGGCTGAATGAGAGGATTATTTTTACTAACTTTTATAAAGCCTCTATCATCAGTAGAGAACCAATGAAATAGGCAACTTCTTGGTCTAGGCTATCATTTCTACAACCTTTATTCGATGTTTTTAAAAATGATATTTTGTTGTTGCAAAACATACATCAATTCAGCAGCTTTTGTGTACCAGTACCATCAATTACATGTTTTATGTAGTCATTCTCACCTTTTCCTGAGTTTTTCCTCCCCAACCCAGCATGAATTCACCACGTAAGATTACTGTCTCATCCTTTGAATGACTGTTGTCCATTTAATAACCCCATCTCTGAAGCTCTTAAAGGAGCCTAATGCTCAAGGCTGACTGTTTTTACTAATTAAGCTAAGGTATCGTTTGGCTTTAAGATGATTTCAAGGGATATTTTTTGGCTTAAGGTGTAAAGATTATCTCAGGCAATAATTCCTAGGCTTCGTCCAACTTTCAAGGTTCTAGGAAGTCTAGAGTCCATGAGGATTTGAAATTCTATTGTGCAGTTCCCCTTTGATCTGGACTCTTAGGGAATCTTTGATCAAAGACTATCTAGCTCTGGGTCCCATGGCAGAGAAGGCAGTTAGTCACAGAGGTGCTTAGTCACACATTGCATATCCTCCTCCTATTCCTGAGCTTCTTTCTTCCTCTGTTCTAGGAAAACAGAACAATCGCCGTGCTTTGAATGGCCGCTTGCAAGCTTTCTATAAACCCTAGGCACTACACACCCAAGTAGGTAATAAAACAGAGGCACTAAACATGTCACTAGGCCCATTAGCTGGTTTGCTCCCTGAGACTATGCCCCTAAACTTCCAATCCGTTGCCCATAATAACCTCAGCAGCCACTCTTTGTGGTGATTGTTTTAAATGCATCACACAACATTTGCCCATTTAGCTTTTTGGAGGTTTCTAAGTTATTGATGGATATTTCAGTAACTGGCTGTGCCAGCCTACTTTTGATCAACCTGGTACTCCCTTCCACCCTTGGTAACCATGAATAAAGTGTACACTCGATTTGTTTCCCTCTTCTTTTTATACATGCGATCATACAATCGTGTGATTGATGTATTTCAGTCAGCATCATGTCTCCTAGCTCCATCCGTATTGTTGCATGGATCAAGACCTCCCTTCTCTTACTGGCTCAGTAGTAGTCCTCCTTGTTCATCTGGTGTGGGCAGTGAGGTTGTTTCCACTCTGGGGCTGTTGGGAGTCATGCCTGAGGCCGAGGCTGCTCTCTGGTCTTCTGGCGCTCTGGCGCCCAGTGGGTGCTGGGCAGAGGGGAGTCAGTTTTCTGTCTGGTTTTCAGGAGCTTGCTCCCAGTGAGGTACCTTTGGGCAGTCTCCCCAGCAGAGGGTGCACGGGGTCCGATTTCCCCACATCCTCACCAGAGACTGTTATCTTCTAGCTTTTATTCATTCCTTTACATCTTAGCCGTCACTGTGGTTTTGATTCGCATGTCTCTACTGGCTAATGGCAGGACCTCTGCCAAAAAGAAACACCTTAGTTTCTTATGTGCAGGCGTGTCACATTCTACGCAGGCATCCGGTGCTGGAGCTGGACAGTAGGTTTTCAAATCCAAGTGTGAGCCCTCTGTCAACATTCCTGTTGCTCTGGGGGCCGTTTGCCATTCCACATACAGTTGGGGGTTGGCTTTTCCATTTGGAGGCTTTCGCGGGTTTTGATTGGGATTGGGTTAGATCTATCCTTCACTTTGGGTATAATATAAAAGAGCTTCAAAAGTATGTGGAAAAACAATGAAAAGACAGTGAAAATTTCCTCTAAGTGTTTTGAAGCCCTCCAATATTGACATCTTAATATGCCGTCTCCGGATCCAGGAATACGAACCATGATTTCATTTACTCCAGTCTGCTTTCATGTCTTGCAGCCGTGGTTTAGTCGTTTTCAACGTGTAAGCCCTTCATGTCTCTAGTTGGATTTTTCCTAGACATTTTAGTCTTAGGTGCTATTGGATTGTTTCCCCAATTTCCCTTTGATTTCTCATAGCTGGTGTAAAAAAATCCCATTTTTTGACCTTGTACTCTGCAAATATTTTATTTTATCGTAATGCTGGCAGGCGGCCTTTAATATGACACGGCGCTTGAGTGGGGAACTAGTCATTGGTGGGGCGGGCCCTGACAGTCTTGCCCGGTGTGCTCGGGCAGACAGAGCAGCAGCTCGAGGGGAGAGGAGAGGCTGGAGCCGAGCAGAAGGCACTGTGGCCCTGCTCTGTGACCTCGCTCTTGCTTCCAGGGCATCATCTACGTAGTGTACTTGCCAGCTTGAGAGGCGGGCTTTACAGTGTTTGTGGAACATTATCTTTTAATTCCATTTTCCCCACCCACTTTTTGAGGCCTACTCTCACATTGTTACTCATCTAGTGGTGGGTCTTCACTGCAAGAGCGAGAGTTGAAGGATGTAAATGACATTTTTTGGCATCACTAAGAGGAATACTTGCTTTGCAGAAGACAGCCCAGATGTTTGAATTCAGCTGAAAACGGTTAGGGTGCTTAATATCAATAACTGCACCCAAAAATGGGTCGGAACCTTTGCCACTCTGCTTCTCTTTCTAGGTGGAACGTGGCCACAGCTGGGCAGCAGAGTGAGCCTGCGGTTTAAAGAACACATTGTCCTCACCGTAGGGCCCGATCTGGAGCGATCTGTAAGTATCCAAAAGGCAACTTCCTGTCCTACAGCCGTCCTGAAGTGATCACAATTTCCCTATCTTCCTGAAATTCAGAACCCAGGTGGCCCAGTGGGTTCAGCGTCAGGCTGCTAATCCCAAGATGATCTGTTCAAACCAACCAGGGAGAAAGAGAGGCTGTTAGATTTAGTCTCAACAACCCGATGGACTTCTACCCTGCCCTGTGGGTTGCTGGGAGTCAGAATCGCCTCCCCGGCAGTGGGCGGGGCTCTCATCCCTAGGGTCCTGGGGTTATGCCATCACTTCCATTCAAATAAGGCCCAACTTGCTTGCTTGGTTCTCTGGTTCTAAATTTTGGCCGCTTGGGCCCTTGGGGGCTTTTTCATCCCCACAAAACTCCCTGACTCATGTTAAATAGTGACGAACATCTCACCCAAGTGGTCACCCTGCCTCTCGCTGGGACAAGTCCACCCGGGCTGCAAATGTATCACGTAGTATGGCTTCTTAGTCTCTCTCCTGCAGCCAGGACTGTAGCTGTGCCGCCCAACCTAGTGGGTCTCAAACCTCGCTGATTACAGAACCAACTTGAAGTCTTTGAAAAAAAAAAATCATACATTCTTTGGTTGGAGCTCCTCTACTTCGGATCTTCTGAAGCTCCCTGTACCTTCTTACGGCCCTTGGAAACGATCCCATTCCCCATGGCTTCGCACCATGATCAATCAGTGGGGTGAGACAGAGGAGCACTGATTACATTCGGACACATATATATGTCTATGCATAGAGGACTTAAAAAAAAGGTGTAGAAAAATAATTTAAATGAAGACTTTCAGTGTTGTTTTTGAAGCTGCCATATATAGTTATATGTACAAAGACACACCCACACACAGAAACCTTCAAAGGAATATATTTTCACCCCTCCATTTTTATAAAAACTTCTAATTCTTAAAATCATTCAGTGGCAATATCAGTATCAGGCCGAGGTGACAGGAAATGACAAATTAGAAGAAATGACACTATCGTATAGGACAGAGGGTGAAAGGAAGTAGACCATTTGGGCCTCCTATAACTGTAACGGAGGATTCCATAGATCACACAGATGCGACTTCAGAGGCGATATTCACTCCCTGGTGGTCATGAATTATCAACGTATACACATCTTGTTAGGTGCCACTAAGTCTTAGTTTTGACTCAAGAGCAAGTCCTTGTGCGGAGCAGAGCCGGACAGCATTCCGTAGATGGGAAGGTCAAAAAATATACAAGTAAGATTCAGTGAAGAAAGTGTTTCACTGATAAGTTGATATTTAATGGCTGCCCTTTTTTGTTTTCCTTTATTTCCTACAGGTATTCCACCAGGTACAATTCTAGCTGCCTTTTCTTCTGACCTAAAGAGTACCTGTTATATGTTCCATATAAATGGCAGTTTGTGATAACTGTAATAGTTATGAAACTATGCATTACCTACGGAAGTGTGTATACACACACGCACACTAACTCTGCCAAAACGATTCTTTACAACAGCCAATCTGTTTCTTTTAAGCATCAAGCTTTGAAGAATTTTTTTTAATTGTTGGCCTAGTGAAAACCCTACTGGTATTGAGGGCCTCAATGTTTTTGTTATTGATAAAGTACCATTTCTCTTAAAGGATGAAACTCCAGAAAAGATGGTTTACGTCTATCATTCCTTAAGGAATAGGAGAGAGACACACATGATGGGAAATGAAGAAACCGAGGTTGGTTCCAACCGGGAGCCAGTGTCTGCCTGTCCTCTGTGTGCTCAGTGGGAGGACGGTCTTCCAAGGGTGGGCTCCATTTTCACACAGTTGCCCAAGTGCTTGCATGGGGACAGTTAAGTTAGACACGCATACCCAGGTGCAAGTGTTCAACGATACTAGCTGGGACCTGTAGCCTTGTAAGGAAGGTATATTACAAGGAATAGAAAGCATTTCACACAACTAACATTACTTACTACATAAATTGGGCTACTTTCTGCAGGGAGTTGGCAATACTTTATGTTATCTCTGCTCATATACACTGTTTAACTTGAAACAAGTTTTATACTTCAGAAGGGCAGTGAAAACGATGTATCACAAAGTGCAGATGTTCACATAAGAAAGCGCCACTTCGCTAACGTACGTAGTGTGTTATTTGACTAAGTGATCTACCCTCCTCCTGCAGTCTCACGGACTTCGGTTTCCTCTGTCACATCTGCGGGCCCTGAAGCAAATGTGGAGCCATGCGGCTCTTCCTGTCCAGGACCTGGAACTTCCTACAAATGAGGAAAAGGAGAGTCTGGTGCTATCCCTGTGGACGGAATGTTTGATCCAAGTAGTCTAAAGCTTTCGGAGAATCAACCATCTACTCTTTTTACAATACTTATTTTTAAAGCAGAAAAGGTGTAGGCGGTGTGCTAGGTAGACTGTTGCCTTGAGTCAGCAGGCTGAGTAGGGGAGGAAGAATGGTTCTACATACAAGCCAAGGAGAAGATGTGCTGCCCCAGGGCTCTACCTCTAACCTACCTCTGCCTCCACACACCCTTGCTGAGAGGCGGGTCAGATGGGCTATGTGTACTATCAGAGAAGCAAGGAAACTTTTGATAAGTTTATTTAATCCAGTGTGATAGAAAAGGCACAACTCCAATAAAATGTATCATTTAAAGTTAAAACGTAGTTACCTGACTCTGTCTTTGTTCTTTGGAAAAAACAACTTCTTTAAAGAGTCCAAATGACTCTGGAAAAATTATTCAACAATTAACACAAATCAACTTTTTTTTTACAACAAAAATATACATGGCTTTGTATACACACACGTTCCCCCCTCATCCCCCCAAATTAAAAGTTATTCCTGTAACAGAAGCTTTATTACATAATACTGCCACACCAAAGAGAGAGGCTCAAATCTATGGGGCATAGGGAGTTTTACAGATGCTTGGAAAGATGACAAATGAAGCAGAGCCTGAGGTTGAAGGGGAAAAATCCCCAAGTATATTTACATTGCAAGACAAGGTCTCCCTAAAAAACACTCAATGGGTCTGCGTTGAAACTATTTACTGTTATTTTACATTCTAAAGTGCATCAAGGTTGATAGTTTAAAAATATCACTAGAGAATATCTTTCTGTATCAAAACACAGCAGGCATTTTTCTGCTTCTTGGCCAAAGTTGGGGATGAAGGGAACAGCTGTCTCAATGTTAAGTTTAGATCCAGCTCAGAGAGAGACACTTGCAAATTGTGGTAGTGGTGATTCCTCCAGACTAAGTCAAAGACGATTTCCTTCTGACTTTTACAATACAAACTTTAAAATGTGAGTGAAAACCGAGAATCCGTGACTTCGTAGAGAAGTAAACTTTACTTGAAAATGGTTAAGGTCAAGGCTGAAATATTATTTTGCCTTTATATGAACATTCCAAACTTCCCTTGACTTTCAGCAAAGGGAAATGTGGACTGTTCTGCTTCGGTGGCGCAGCCTTTACAGACACCTCTCTTGGAGGGCAGGCAGATAAGGCATAACTGGGGTGGGTCTCAGCACCGTGTTGGGAAGCCATCCGTTAGTCATGTCACTCAGAGGGACATGCTTGCTGACACCCAGGAGTGCAAGGTGGGCCACTTGCCCTTTTTTCAAGAAGGCAGGGGAAAGGAGCGTCACAGAGGAGACTCCCAGGTTGTGCCTCTTTCCTAACAAAACTGAGGTTCCTCCCTGGGATCAAGTGTGGAAATAGTTATTTATGGTGCTTCAGTGATGAAAGCTTTCAGAAAAGAACCTGTGGTCTACCACATACAGCAGCTTAACAGGAATACCTATTAACTGCATTTTCAGTTGCTGCTCAGTTAGTCCTTTCTTTCCAACAAGTATGGTAGGGCCCTGGGGGTTGTGTTTACCTGGGCCTTATGCACACATCTACTAGACGATCACTGTAACTAATGCAGGGTTGCCTGTGTCACTAGTTTGCTCTAGTGGCTTCCAGGACCAGAAGTCACATTTTGGTGAACAGGAGAGAAAACAGGCTTAACAAGACATCCTTACCACACGTGGAGAATAATCAGGAATAGAACCTTCACGAGAAATCCAATCCCGGTGTGGCTTTACAGAACACACTCGTGTTCTTCACAGGAACATCGCCGAGACACTGGCGAGAATGTTTGGGCTTTTCCCCGGGTAAGAGCAATGCATACAGCCTTGAGGCTGAGGGACAAGTTCATTCTGCTTGGGGATCCAGAAGTCTGAGGACAGCAGTTTCTTTTCCCTGGTGCAAATGCTAGACTGTGCAGGACACACGGCTCCCTTTTCCTTTGTGCTTTCTTTCTGTCGTGGATGCTCATAATATCTCAATGTCCCATTTCTGTGTTTCTTCTCCTTCCAGGGACTGATTGACAATCACATGAGTCTTGTCGTAGTAATTCCCTCCTAAAGTAGAAGTTCCAGAAGAAAACATTATTTGTTCATGCAGGTGCTTTAGCAAGTGCACAAGTAGCTTTGGTTCAGCCTGCTTCTTGGGGAGATTCATGGCCGTTTACACAGTGGTCTGACGTGGGAAACCGAGTTTCAACAGGCTGAGCTATTGCTCACCACAAACTGAACCTCACTATGACTCAAAGTGGGAAAACTGAAAGGCACAATATGTGATTGCATAAACTGTGTGCCCCCCAACGGTTCTTAAGAACAAAGTGCGCTGAGCGCACGCACGGCAGGTGAGTGTCAGGGCTGTGCTTTCGTTTGTACCCCAACGGGGGGAAGACTAGCCCAACGAAAGCCAGGAGCGCTGCTGGGCCTGGCCTTGCGGTGTTGAAAAACAACAAGGTTAATGATACCTATCATAATTGTTCACTGAGGGCTTTTAAGGACCATGACAATTCACAGCAAAAGAGACGTCTTCTCTAAGAAACAAAGCACATTCATTTTGGAGTTTGAGGCCTCTAAGATCCGTTGCTAAACTCAAATAACAGATGAACTTCCAAATGTACTAGTGAATGAGAACTTTCTTAGACTTTGTCCTTACGCTTTATTTATTTTTGCTAGACCTACCTAAATATTTGTATCATGTCTTAAGATGACCTGCCTTTTCAAGCATAATTTTAAAAGGCATAACATTTTTCTCCTACAAAAGGCTCTCCTTCACCCAGCAAAAGGAAGTGTAGGGCCTAAAAATATGATCACCCGAAATACAAAATACTGGGTCTCATCAAAGGCTCACCTTTCACATCCAGGACAAGTTGGTCACTGAGGTAAGAGCTGATGGTTCCATTTCTGTTCAGTCTCCACTTCTGCCTGAATTGTCCGTGTTCAATCCATAGGGCTACTTTAGCTCCAGGGGTGTCCCGGCCACCAATCACATCAAGACATGTATCGCTGGCCTAAAAGGGTCCAAGGGAAAAAAAATCTGGCTATACTATTTTTGCTACAATGAATTGAATTGGGTTTCTTTAAGGTATAATGTAGACCTCTTGTATAAGGAATAATGCATAACGCCTTTTGAAAATGATTGTAAAGCATAATAGTAATTTCAGAAACTTCATGGACATGATTGGGGGATGACACGGTATGGGAGTAAGCAACTTGAAAGAGATGTAATTTGTTTTTAAAAGGATTGCAATATATGCTAATAAAAGTCTGGTGAATGAAAAATTGAATGCAAAGTGTCTGATTTTCTCATAAAAATACTGGGCAAAGGGCTGAAGACAACCAGATAATTACTTTTAAAAGCTGCTTATTTGTGTTGAAAGAAAGATTAAAAAAAAAAAAAAGACAATCCATTGGTGTTCATTAAAAATAAGGCAGTAAATTATTTTAAGCTAAGATTTATCCCCTGTAACATCACACACAGTGGTGTCTCAAGAAATGAAGAAATCTCTATTTTGTTTTCTAAGCACTCCGCAGTGACTCCATGGAGAATCTCAAAGGCCATTGACTGTCCGGACCATTGAAGGACTGTCTCACCGAGGCACTGTCCACCAGAGACTGACATCCTGATTTTTCAAACACTGTTTAGGCATATGTTTGTTTAACTTAAATATCAAACCTGGATTTTCTGGGTCAAAAAACTTCTCTTCAGCCATACTTTTGTACCATACGCATACTGTGGAAGAAATCATTCCTAAGGAACTGGCATTATCTTATCAGTCCATTTGGTTTGTTAGATTTTTGTTCCCAGGAGAACAGATCAAAGACCCCAAAGGCCAGGGATACTCCCCTTAGGGAGTTTCCTCACTCGGCTGCTCACCACAAATTCAGTGGTTAGAGCCACCAGCCCCGAGACCCTGGGAAGAAAGGCCCGGCAATGAAGTAGACAACCGGCCCTCGACCACTCCGCGGGACACAGTTCGGCTGGGACAGACGCGGGGTGGGCATGCGTCGGCAATGACTCCGTGGCACCTGGTGGGGTGGGTTACCTTGGATTTGAAGAGTCCTCGGCAGTAGTGCCAGAGCTGCGTGTTTTTCCCACTGTAGGGAGAAATGCACACGGAGGTCGCCCTCATGTCGGCGAGGTTTCCAGTGACGGTCAGATACTCATTCTGGGCTCGGTTCCGTATCCGGATGTACACCGCAGGCTAGGACAAGGGGAGAACAGCCGCTTAACAACCACCTCCGGAATCTGGCATCAATCACGTTAAAAAAAGGGCAGCCTGGGTGGGTACGTGGAGGGTGAAAAGCGACACTCTTCCCCCTTTGGCAAATATAGAGAATCAAGTATGTATGCGAATTAAATTAGACTACTGAGCACAACGTTTATATTGTACTGTCTTTGTTTTGGGAGCATTTTGGGTGGCAAGAGGAAGTAGATTCATTCAAAGAACTCCACGTCACAAGGGCTGGGCAAGAATTAGACAGTTGGATTTCCTACAGCAAGTCATGTGCCCAGTTCTGCTAAGGGAGATACAAGAGCATGCAAAGCCCCAGGGAAGCAAGTCCAATGATGAGATGCCAAAGGGCTGCCCCGGGAGACCCTCTGCATTTGGTCTGCCAGACTTTTGTAGCTGAGGACCCTCACAGCTAAGGCTCTTTCCTTTTTCACATGCACGCTTTGTAGCTGGTCACCAGAAGAGAGTGAACGCTTCGATCACTACTTACCCACTGCTGCTGAGGCAATTCCAACTCGGAGCGACCCTCTGGGACCAAGTAGGACCCTTCCTAGGGATTCTGAGACTAAATTTCCACAGGAGCAGCGAGCCCCATCTTCCTCTTTCAGAGCAGCTAGTGGGTTTGAACACCCCGCACCTACCCTGTGGTTAGCAGTCCACAGCTGACCGACTGACTGCACACTGTCCCTCCACTGCCATCGAGTCGCTTCTGACTCACAGTCACCCCAATACAAGGCTTTCTGAGGCTGAGCATCTCAACCAGAAGTGGGAGCCTTAACGTTCCCTGAGGGAAGCAGGCAGGTTTGAACGGCCAGCATTGTGACGAGCAGTGCACAGCTCCCCGGCAGGCAGCGCTAACAGAGATGGCTACTGCACCCTCAGAACTCCACCCAAACTCATGGTCAGAGTCAATTTTGACTCATCGAGACCCCGTCCGACGGAGTGGAACTGCGGCCTCCGGTCATCATGTGAGGCACAGGGCACCCACCGGCCTTGCTGCCTTGGATCAGAAGCTGGCTTCTCAGAACCTTGGCTACATAAAGAACGCGTGAGCTGCTATTTAATCAGGCAGCTCGTTTACTCTTAGAAGCAAATACTAGGTAAATGCAATATGAGAAGTATGGTAACAAATTATCTCACTGTTGAAGTTTACAAAAGACTAACTCAAGGTCAACTGAATTATGGTAAACTGTTAACCCTGTTTAGCATTCCTTTTTCTTTTTTAAATCATTTTATTCGGGGCTCATACAACTCATCTCACAATCCATACTTGTTTAGAATTCCTAAGGAGAGAAACATCCAAGAACTTACACAAGCAACACAGCGAGAAAACACATTATTATCTGACCAATGGAGGCAGGTAAGTAAAACCTCTCTTTGGCTGAATATTTTAAATGACAACTTTCATATTTATAATGCTGTAGTAAGGTGCTTCACTTTCTGTAATTCAACCTGGTTTTCCAATGAAATCATTATAAATTCTTGAGGTTCAAGATATCTTTAGTACAGATTTATTACCTGGTACAGATCGGAACACAGGCATAACCACAGATGAGAGAGCTCCAATTATTTTAGGACCAAACAGTTTTAATTAACTCAAGGCAGGTACTAATTACCCTGATTGCACATTTATAGTCTGACTCCTCTGCCATTTTACTTAAAAATACAGATATACTTTGTAAGTACATTAGTGACTTCCTAATTCACAGCCTCAAAGAAGATTACATTTCAGTTACTCTTATTATTTCTAAAAAGAGCACGGAATAAACCCAGTACCAATAGCCTTCCCAAAGAGTCAAATGATCCAAAACACTGTCTCAGAAGCCAAGGATCTCTTTGCCAGGAGTCTAGACTGTGGCTTCAATAAGCAGCAGAGGAAAATAACCTGTCTGTATAATAAACCAGGGGTGCTATTCCAGCTATACTCTTCCCCAGGGTCCTGGAAAATGGGCAGGGACATTCTTTCCTGCATTTCAAAATGAGAAATTCTTTGCTCCTCAAGTTTCTATCAGCAGATAGTTGGAGGGAATGTCGTGGGGGCCACATCTGACCTTTCCTGGGTACAGAAGGGAGGAGAAGCCCACTCCACGCTTTCCCTAGAACAATTTCCATGAGGTGGGGGTCAGGCAGGCCTCCACCCTCTTCTCATTTCCTTTACCCGTTTCAGGCACGAACCAGCCCACATTCCCCAGTGCTGGGTTTGATCATTTGTTGCAATGGCCACAGAGAACTCACAGTATGATGGTGTTTATCAGGGACGCTAACAGGCTCTTTGTCAGAGCCCCATCTCAGCCATGCCGGCAGGATGTCCCTCTTTGGTGCGCAGCCTCTGAGTCCCATGTTCCCTTGGGTTCGGCTTTATTCCATGGTCTACTAGGGAGCCCACTTGCCTCTCTCTCTCTGTCTCACGGTCTCAGCACTGCCATCTCCGGTGCCCCCGACACATCAGGCAGGGATCTTGCGAGTGCTCAGCTGATGGCTCTTCGTTCTGGGTGGTGGTGGGATTCTTCTCGTCCTGTTTCTGAGTGGCTGCTATTAGGTGCCACTGAGTGGGCACTGCCCCATAGCGACCCTATGCACAGCAGGAATGAAATCCTGTCCAGCCCGCAGCCATCCCCACAACTGGTCTCCTGCCTGAGCCCCCTGAGGCAGCCACTGTGTCAATCCTTCCTTGAGAGCCTTCCTCTCCTTCGCTGCGCCTCCACTTCACCAAGCGTGATGTCCCTCTCTGGGCACTGGTCTCTCTTGACAGTATGTCCAAAGTATGTAAGGTAAAAGCTTGCCATCCTGGCCTCTGAGGAGCACGCTGGCGGTACTTCTTCCACTACATGTCAGTGCGTGCTTTCAGCAGTCCCTGGTCCTGTTCAATATTCACTGCCAGCATCACCATTCCAGTGCACTAATTCTCCTTTGGTTTTCCTTGTTCGGTTCAGATGGCTCCCTTATACACTCATTAGAAAGATGCCGATCTAGTCCCAACTCTCCTGGTACAAAAGGGAAACCACCTTGAAGAAGTAAGACCCTCTGCATTGTCAAGTCAATTCGGAGTCACAGTGACCCTACAGGACCGAGAAGAACTGTCCCCACAGGGTTTCCGAGACAGCCTCATTTTTCTCCAGCTGATCGGGTGGTGGGGTTCAAACCACTGACCTTCTGATAGCAGCTGAGTGCTTCATTACTGAGCCACCAGGGGGCCTTCGTAGAAAAACAAACAAAACAAACAGAACCAGGTGGTTGGGGGATCCAACTTCTATTGGGAGAAAGGGTTGAGGAAGGCATCTTTGAGGGCCAATGCAAAGCTGAATCTGCACTAATGCACAGGGCAAAGGCTGAGGGGAGATGGAGGGCACAGCCTAACTGAAGGAGCAGGCTGTGGGCTGGCCCACGTGACGCCCCCAGCGAAAAGACGACTAGGGAAAGATGGAGATGGAGATGCAGGGGGAGTCAGATCATCAGGGCCCTGTGGGGGAGTTCAGATTGTATCCAAAGTGCAGTGGGAAGCGTTCAAACATAAAAGTGACAAGCAGTAGGTGTGCGGTAAATATTATTCCAATTAAACTGCCAGGAGCTATCCTGAGTATTATGTAAGTTGGGAACAGGAAATCCAGTACTTGCAAAGTAAAACCAGCAGTCTCAAAGCTCATGCTTCTTTTCCTGGCTTGCCACCGAGCTCACTATGTCTCCTTTCTCCATTAAAAGGTGCACATCACCAGTAAGCTTTCAAACTCAAAAGTAAAATCCATTGTTGGACACGGATATAATTTCATGCACTGCTCAATGTTTCCCCCTTCTCCTCCCCCCATACCTGCCACCTATATGGCACAAGAAAGCATGTGACCAAGCTGTCACAGATTCAATTTACAACATTACTACCAGAGGGGGGAAAGTGAGCTATTATAGACCCTATGGTTCTTTTCTGCTTACCTGTTTCATAGGACGGAGAGATCCAATCGTTTTCCACCCACTGAATGCTGTCCAATTTGGAATCTCAATGGGCTCCAGTAGGATTTGTCTTCCTAAGAAATTAGATCCTTCGTAAGCTATCCACCTGTAGGCGAACAGGAAAGGTAACGGTGTGGTACTTGAAAACAAAAGCACAACACCTTGATCAAAAATGCCTAGCCATTATACCAAAGAGGGGTCATTCTTAAAAAAAAATCTGTTTGTAGATTTTTTTGAAAATTATTTTATTGGGGGCTCGTACAATTCTTATCACAATCCATACATCCATCCATTGTATCAGCACATATGCACATTTGTTGCCCTCATCATTCTCAAAACACTTGCCTTCTACTTTAGCCCTTAATATCAGTTGCTCATTTTACCCCTCCGTCCCCACTCCCCCCTCCCTCACGAGCCCTCCATAATTCATAAATTATTATAGTTTTGTCCTAAGTTACACTGTCTGACGTCTCCCTCCGCCCCTTCTCTGGTGTCGATCCCCCAGGGAGGAGGCAATACTTCGATTCTTGTAATCAGTTCCCCCTTTCTACCTCACATCCCCTTCACCCTCCAGGCATCGTCCTTCACCACTGGTCCTGAAGGAGTCATCTATCCTGGATTCCCTGTGTTTCCGGTTGCTATCTGTACCAATGTACATCCTCTGGTCTAGCCAGATTTGTAAGGTAGAATTGGGATCATGAATCATGATAGTGGGGGGAGGAAGCATTTAAGAACTAGAGGAAAGTTATGTTTCATCGTTGCTACCCTGCACCCTGATTGGCTTGTCTCCTCCCCACAACCCTTCAGTAAGGGGGTGTTCAGTTGGCTACCGATGGACTTTTGAGTCTCCACTCTGCACTCACCCACCCTTTACAATGATATGATTTTTTGTTCTTTGATGCTTGATACCTGATCCCTTCCACAGCTCGTGGTTACACAGGCTGGTGTGCTTCTTCCATGTGGGCTTTGTTGCTTCTGAGTTAGTTGGCCACTTGTTTATCTTCAAGCCTTTAAGATCCCAGATGCTATATTTTTTGATAGCCAGGCACCATCAGCTTTCTTCACCACCTTTGCATATGCACACATTTGTCTTCAGTGACCGTATCAGGAAGGTGGGCACCCACTGATCTGATTTTTAGTTCTTTGATGTCTGATAACTGGCCCTTCTGCACCTCATGGTCAGACAGGCTGGTGTGCTTCTTCCATGTGGGCTTTGTTGCTTCTCAGCTGGATGGCCGCTTGTTTATCTTCAAGCCTTTAAGACCCCAGAAGCTATAGATCTTTTGATAGCCACGCACCATTAGCTCTCTTCACCACATTTGCTTATGCACACGTTTGTCTTCAGTGATTGTGTCAGTAAAGCGGGCACCCACTGATAGGATTTTCAGTTAAGTTTGTAGATTTTTTAAGGAAACAGAATTACACAATTTCATGTATCAGGTGCAGCAAGGTGATTAAGAAGATGTCTATTGGACTGGGAGAAGATGCGGGGCCTTCCACTGGGACTTCTCATCTCCAAAAACACATGCGGAGCTAAAGTTCTCTCCAGCTCTGAAAGCGAGTGTTCCTTGGATAATGCTGGGTCTTTTCATAGCAACTTAACACCTGAAGACAGATCACCCCCACCACCCAGTCAAACTTAAGCTTATTTCCTTCAGGGCCTCTTGGGGTGACTCTGCTATCTCTCCAGACACATCTCCTTCTGTCACTGCTCCACAACCGCCACCATGCGTGGTCTGTAAATCCTTTGACAATCCTTTCTCAGCTCCCTGCTTCCAACTCAGGCAGAGTTAAGTTGTGAGCATGCACAGGGCCTCAAGGAGACTGAAGTCTCAAGACCCACAGGGGTATCCAGGCGCTCTGTCTGCAAGGCTAGTGCGGCCCTTTGCACACTGCGCTACAGATGCTGGAGGCACGCCCTGCTCTCCTGCCAGGACATGAGCTCTGGGAAGCCAGGACGGTTGGCCGGCACCTTATTCAACCGGAGAGATTTGCAGTCCTGGCAATAGATGCTTGCCAAATCAAGCTCACTGCTATAATCAGATGTAAAATCTCTGTGTACTCAATCCCACGAGAAATGGCTATTTATAAGTCTGAGCGTGAAACGTAACACAAGGAGTTTATAGGTAAAAATTATGAATTCCAGTCTACATTGGCTGTCTTTTGGAAAACGTATTTGTATCTTAAGTGGCTTAGAAATAAGGCCTAAGGTATAGCATGTCACTAGCCAGAAACTTTAGCATCTACAAGGAGGGACAGGCCCCTGGGCCCTCTGGAGGTTTGGGTCAGCAGGTGATCCGGCCATGAAAGAGGAAGTTTTTGATTCTCACCTTCGTGGTGCTGGGGAGAGGGCCTTTGCCACAGAGACACTAACGCAGTCACTAAACAAACACCTTCTACTGTCCTTCGGATCTCAAACCAGAGCCCAGAATCAATCTGGCGGAGCTAAGAGGCTTTCTCTAGCAAAAGGCATCACACAAAGGTGCCCCAGAGAAGAGAGGAAGGCCCATAAAGAGAAACTATTCACTGCCTGGCCCTGTGCAGAAAATGTTTGCAGTTCTCTCTGCTTTAGAAACATAGCAAGCCAAACCACTAAGGAAGGACAATAGTCTGGGGCAATTAAGGGGGCATGGCTCAAGGTCACCTCAAAAATAGTGCTTTAAGAAGTATGTGTGGAGGGCCAGGTGGCTGCCTCCCAGACTCCAGACAAAGCCCTTAAAATAGTAGGTTACTGGGTTGCCCTGCCTTGGACCAACATGTCCCTTGGTGGTACAAATGAGTAATGTTTTCAACTCTTACTTGAAAGGTCTGAGGTGAGCATCCACCCACAGATGCCTTAGAAGAAAAGGCCTGACAATCGTCTTCTCAAAAATCAATGCCGTGCAGTTTTACTCGGAGCAGGTGAGTCAAAGCTGTCATGGTGGGAACTAGCAACTGGCCTTGGATCAAGTGGGTCACGTATTGGGCTGCTAACCACAGAGTCAACAGTTCGAATCCAACGCCACTCCAGGGGAGAAAGATGAGGCAGTCTGGGAAACCCACAGAGGCGGTTCTGCTCCATCCCCTAGGGTTGCTATGAGTTGGCATCAACTCGATGGCAGCGAGCAGTGAGAGGGGGAGGCAGAGTTACAGCAGCAGGAAAGGCAGCTGGAGGGTCTCAGGACCAGGTTCAGCCCTAGTGAGATTAAACAAATTACTTACGATGGTCCTTGCAGTCAAAATGTCCTACGTATGTATTTTAAATTCTGGCCTGTAAGTCTGTGACTATAATCTCATTTTGAAAGGCATTCTCTGCTACGCTCATAGGTAGAATTAAGGTGGAATTAAGTCTCCACCTTAGGAGAAGGTGGGAACCAAGTCAACATCCTTGACTCCATAGGGGTATGATCTGCTGAAGACCCATAAAACCTCCGTCAAAGCCATTCCTTTGTGTAGAAGCGCTGCTTCTGACACCCACAGAGGAGTCAATTTGCAGGCCCACTGGATGAAGCTCCATCAGTGGAGCACACTGGAGATCTTTGTCTAAAGTGTAAGAAGCCAGCACCAAAGGCTACGGCATGGAGACCATGAGACAGAGCAAAGGAGCAAGGCTGAGACCAGAGGCCGCGGCATGGAGACCATGAGACTGTGAGGCAGAGCAGCCAGCTGGCTTCCTGGTCCATGGAGGCAGAAACCAAGGGACCACATGGCTGATCATCAGAGAGACACTTGGTTGCTGAGGTGTTGCTGTGGACCAACAACTGTATCCTTAAGGTTTACTGATCATGACTTGTGGTAACGTGTTAACTTCCTTGATAACCCTTCTAATTGTTACTATAGTCTGTGAGTTCTGTGCGGCCATTAAAACAGATGACCAAACCCAGAATGGAAGCAGAGTGCCTGGGAAGGAAGGACTGGTGTTAGAACAGGGCACAGAGGGGTGGGGGTGGGGACATGCCTAACCTCCGCCTTGTGGCAATATGAAGCCAGAGGAGGTTCGGCGTGGCCTCTGTGCTGTGTACACACAGAGTGACAACACAAGCTAGAGGGGCTTTGCTCTTATCGCCAGTGACTTCAGCCCTTCAGCTTTCTGGGAAAAACAAAACAAAACCCCCAAACCCACATCTTTTCAGATGAAAACATCTGAAACTTACAAAGGGAAATGCCCTTGAGGGACCTAAACCTCTCAGTTAACGTAGGAAAAGATTTCAACGTGTGCTTAAAATTGTGGCGTAAAGGGACAACCTAAGGGGAGGGCTTTTTATGAAAGTCCACGGAGATGCTGATCTCAATGAACCACCACCAGAAACTGCTCTGGCCCCAGGGTAGAAGGGGTAGAGAAGGCAGAACTGGCCGTGCGTCTCTGAGACAAACAGACTAGGCTTGGGCTCCGGGATGATGGGATGACTAGACGGACCCTTCCCTACAATGCCTGTGGGAAACAGAAAGACTTCTCCCAAGTCATCTCCCCAGAGTACATGCCAAACCTAGCTGCTTGCTACACCTGGCGAATGACTACACTTGGAGGTCAACGAAAAGTAGGTCAGAGGTTATTCTCCCTAAGGGTTATCAGCCATCCAGAGCAAGCAGACACCACTGTTTATCCCACAATAAGTACGGCCCACTCCCTTCTGATATGGCGAGCAGTTGACTGTTTCCTTGTAGGAGAACCCAGAAAAGGTTAGGCCGCCATAGTGAATCTAGGGTCTGCCCTTGTCACATGCATACCCTTAGTCCCTTCTCATCCTATCATGTGTACACCCCTAGCTCATCCCCTTCCTGCTACGCTTATGCCCATTGTATATCCCCCTCCTATTGCTTGTGTTGATTATTGTACAGCCCCTTCCTGTGATGTGTGTGGTTACCTATAATCATGCCCCCCCCAAGGATGAATAAGCCTTGGTTAGCAGTAAAGAGGCTCGCTCCTGCTTTCTTGCCAGCCCTCTCGGCCCATGCTGTGTACGAACCTGGCTGTTCAGATCATGGCGATCCAGGAGGTGAGCATGCTACCGTGAAATGTGTCTGACTTCTTTGTTTAACTCTCTCTCCTACTCTACGACTTTATTATAATCTTTATATATCTCAACCATACAACTGCGCTTACTGAACCCGTGATTAGTTGTGGGGTGCTGGCTTCCCCCACAACTGCCGGCTGACAAACGTCCACCTGGCAGAAGATTGGCACAGAGGCAGTCCGCAGGGTCAGAGAGAGGCTGATCCACTTCCCCAGCTTTCCAGGCTGGGGAGTCTCAGATATAAAATCCATCCAAGATTTTAAGGAACCATACCTAATTATATATTGATGTAAATGAATCCCACAGCTGGAACAGCTGTGTGGGACGGTGCAGTAAGGCATGCCCCTCATTACACCACAGATCAAAGACGTGGGGTGGTAAGGGGATTCAAACAAAGCAAAAGCTGGTACTGAGGGCCGCCGGCTGTGCAGTGAGAATTAGCCTATGATCCATTTGCAGCCTAGGAGAATCTTCACACAGGCTTCAGTGTCTTACACTGTGTACCAATTCTCCTATAGACTCCGGAAGAGGGGGCGTCCGTGCAGAGTAAAAAGAATGAAGAATGCCAATGTAAAATGGTATTAAGTTTTGTTTTTTTTACTTCTTTCCAACAAAGTGAGACGGTCTCAGAGGTGAGTCATTAAATAGTCATTTCACTAAGGTAGGAATGTAAAGGAAAAAACTAATATAAATATCTGATAGTTCCACATCACAGGAATACAGAATTATTTTCAAACAGATTTAGGGAGGTAAAACACTGGAACCTCTACCTTGATTAGAACCAATAAATTTGTTGTTCAATAAACTCCAAACTATGTGAAATGGTATGCAGAAGAAAATATCTGTAAATACAACAGAAGCCGTTGATGAAAACAGTCGACTTAATTTTCAAATCAACTGATATCCTGGGCTTTCTCTTGTACGATTCATAGATACCTCAATGAGCAGATATTTGATTATCACATAATTTAAAAGTCATGAACAGTAAAATCCATATTTACATTAAAAGGGGAGAGCCAGGCATCCTCTCCGAGATGGCCTGCGGTAGGAGCAGGCAGGGACGGCATGCCCATCTCCATCTGCAGAACTGACCCAAGAGGCAGGGTTTCCCACAAGCAAATACAGCCTCACCTGCAGGCCCACTCACTTGCAGGCGGCTGCATTTCTTATTCTACAGAGATATGCAAGTTTAAGCAGAATTTCAGTATCCAAAACCAGTTTGGCCTCAACCCCTAAAGACTGGCAGTTCGAACCTACCTGGCAGAGCAGTAGGAAAAAACACTGGTCATTTGTTCCTGCAAAATGACAGCCCCCAACCCCCATCGGACAGTTCCATTCTGAAACACACGAGTGGCCAGGAACTGGAATCCATTCAACAGCATGGATTTTGTTTTGCTTTGACTTTAAAGAGGGCTCTCCAAATGGCAAACATGATGACCCTACACAGTCTGAAATCATCCCATGTAATCCTCACTCCGGTCAACTGGCCACATAAGACAGAGTCAAACCGTACAGGATATTTAAGCCTGTAATCTTACCAGAAACAGGTTGCCACATCTTTCTCGGGTGGAGAACCCGGGACTTTTAGGTGAGCCGCTGAGTGCTAACAACTACACCGGCAGCCTCTCCTCGATTGACAGCTATCGCGAATGAAACAGCAAGACTGCTAAGGCAGCAGAGGTCAAGCTTGGCACTGTGCATGAAAACGAGTGCCCGGAACAGACAGCTCTCCAATATTCATGTCCAATCAATACAACAAAACTCGTAGTCCTGCAATCGATTTGCCTTAAGCATGTAATGGCGTTAACCTTAAAAGTTACTGATTTTTAATAGGCTGTTTCTTTTTTTTTAAAAAGTGGATTTCCCCAGTTAAGGTCACCGGGTCCATCTCCTCTCTATGACCAGGTGCTGTGCTTATCCGGCCGGTTTTCTCAGAGGGATCTCCCGCTAACTCCCCTCTAGCCCAGGACCACTACATTCGAGGGAGATTCAGAGTTCGAGGGAGGATGGAATGGAAAGAGAATGGAACTTCCCCACATACTTTTTGAAGCCCCCTCCTACTCTTATTTAGGGGCCCACAGCTTTCTCCTATTCAAACTGTAACCTGGTACTACCCTGAGAGAGAAAACAAGTAAGAGCAACAAGCCCAAACCCCACAGCAGTCAGAGCATCAAGAATCACTAGGCCACTCTGTCCTAAACCAGCAACCTAAGAAGGCTGGCGGGCCCGTCTCTCATACTTACTGTCCACTCTTTACCCACACAGACTGGGTGTAGAAGTGCAGGTCCTTATTTAGAACAGAGTTCACAGCCTCTTCTAGATGTAGCTCTCTTCCCTCACAGTGTTCCAGAGCGAAAAGGCTAATGGAAGGTTCTTCAAAAACCTGAAACAAAGAAAGAGAAAGAGAACCGCGTTACCATCTGGGGAGGCCAACCAAAGCCCACGAAGTTCCCTGTCAGAATGCAGGGCTGCTTGCTCGAAGCCGCTGCGTTCTCACAGTGCAGAGTTGACGGCTCCACTCTCAGGAGGTGAGACTGGCCTCAGTTAACACTTTTGATTCATCTCTCCTCTTGGAAAGGAGCACTCTTCCTCCCTGATTTGCACACCCAGTTGTTGCTTGTGTTTGACAGCCTGGTCGTGCCATGAGACCGACCGTATGCGCGTTCTGCCGATGAGTTGCTCTCGCTGGCAACAGAAATCACAGAACTGAGTGGTGCCCTCGTTTCTCAAGAGGTCCCAGGAGCAGTCACAGGGAATATAAAAATTCATGGTTCTAGGCACTTAATAACAATCCTAAGAAGAAGAAAGGCATTTCTAATTAAAAAAAATTAAAAATTACATTAGACGCACACACACAACTAGATGGGTTGATTCCTACATAAGTGAGGCCTCCTCTGTTCCTCATGTCAATCAAACACAGACTCAACGTTGCTTTTGTTTATAAGTATATGCAAGACACTACGCTGAGAGATGTGACTGAAATCAAACCTATCTCAGTGTTCTCCAGTTGGTGCTGCATCACGGTGACCCTACAGGACAGTACAATGGCCCCTGTGAGCTTGCGAGACTGTAATTCTTTAAGGGAGTAGAAAAACTTCTCTTTCTCCCAAGGAGCAGCTAGTGGATTTGAACTGCCAACCTTGCAGTTATCACACCAATGCATAACCACGATGCCATCAGGGCTCCAGGGTGACATGAGGAGGAATGACAGATCAAAACACAGCACCGCATAAGGGGCATTACTCTCAGCTGAACGGGTGAAACAGCATGATACTGTAATGTAACCAAGGCGGCAAAGGGCATGTGCTGTGAGAGTACAAATAGTAAGGTGACATCATTTTTAGCACAGATGAGCGGGGGTTGTGGAAGCTTTGAGGGTCCAGTGGCCTGGGAGCTCGGTCTTGAAGTATGCAATGGATTTAGACAGGCAGAGATAGCATCAAGGGAGGTCCTCTGTACAAGGAAGGGAGACGGGACATCTTATGGGAGTGGCAAGTAGAGTCATTTGGCTAAAATCCACAGCCCAATAGCAAACATTGTGCTCACCCTGCCACTGTGTGATGAGTTGCCTGTTTCCCTTCTACATGAACAAAGATCAAATGCTGTTCAATGGAGAGTCCTTTAAGGCTCGCATTAGAAGGTCTTGGATTGGGGGGCGGCAGTGGGGTATAAAACAAAACTAAGAAATCATTCAAAAGCCCATGTGCATTGGTCAGATAGAGAATGGTGCATTCCCAAGACTATGGCCCTGAGCCCCCCCCTTCAGCACTGGAGCTGAACTCACCCCTGTGGATCAACGGGCTGATCCGCCAGAGTGGTACATAAGGGTGATAGAGCAAATGAATAAAATGACTAAGTGATGAGAAATGTGGTGAAGAGCAGAGTGGTCTAATTAAATGTGTTCTGGATGAAGAAATTGAGAGAAGAAATATGTTCAGATGCTAAAAACACATTATTTGAAGCCAACAACATTAGCCAATTAAGAAATGTGACTGATAAACTAACATGGGGAAATATTTTATTTCTCCCTTAACAACAACAAAAAGATATCGTAATATGTCCCAGTCTATAAGCCTTTTCACTTGGGAACACCGAATGTGTTAAAATCATTATGATATATACTTAACTTTGTTTTTCTTTTTAAAAATTATTTTTTAACTTTGCTTTTTTATTTTCAAATCATTTAGTTGATATCACCTATTATTTGGGGATGTGTTTATAATGCTGTCTAGATGTACAGATACACTTAAATGTCAGGCAAGCTCAAGAGAACAAGCAGTGTTAATTCGGGCAGGATGAGGGAGAAGTGGCCATTGCTAATCACTCAGAAATCTAGAATTGTGAAGAATTACCCTGAAATTCAATTTTCTGACACATTCTCCTAACATGAAAGGAAGAGATACAAACTAGTAACAGTCTTCAAAACCAAAAGTGACACAGCAAGCTGAACTTTCCCCAGACAATGGAGACTGCCAGCTTAATTGCAATTTGAGCTCGACAAATGTACTGGCAGCAGTCCAGGTGACTTCAGAAGGCAGCTGATTACTTGAGGCCAAAGGCTCTTCTTGGGTATTATCAGAAAGAGGACACTCCTGTGAGGTCAAGGTCAAGTCATGCAAAGGGGATGCAGCTTCTCAGAGCAGGACAAGGTTAAGTGAGAAAAGAACACGCACACAAATTGCATACGTGAAATTATCATTTAGAAAAAAACATGCCCCTAAAAAAAAATCCATTGCTCTTCCTCAGAGGATCAACTCAGACCACCTTTTAAATGGTAGCAGCAACATACATGGCACTCCACGAGGCAGGCATTGTTCAAAGGGCTTCAAGCATTCCCTCGTCAACATTCCCTTACCTAATGTCTCAGAATCCTAAAGCTCTGAAAACCAACATCTCTCCCCTCACTCCGCCCCGCCGTTGTCATTCGGTTATAAACCCCGAGCTAGATAACTGAAAAGTTACTGATTATTCCTTAAAATCTGAAAAATCTCAAATCCCAAAATATATGCGGATTAGGGGTGATTGTGGAACTGCATTTTACTGGTTGAGAACTGCGACACAGGTCGCCCAGAGATAAGGAGAGAAAAACTCCAGGCAGTGTGGTTCCAGAAGTGGGGCTCTTAATCCCTATACTTGGGGGCTCTACAATGGCCCCACTACCGGTGAGGTGACTTTATGCATGCATGCTTATTTCTGACAGTCAGATGTAAGAGTAATTTTCTGTACTTCAGTGTGCTCATCTGGGCAAACATCTTCTATCACTATTCCAATCCACTCCACTGGCTTACCAAATACGTCTCCCAGCTGAACTCGAAGTCCTAAGACCCTGTACAAGGACTTATATTAACATACGGACACTGCAACTGGGCACCCATTTTAAAATCTCACTAAGACTTTCACATTTTGTCCCCTCAAACTACCCAGACTGACATTCTGGCACTGCACAGTGCTCCGGGTTTGTATGGGAAGGTGTTGACGGTGCCTCAGGATCGCACCACCAGGCTGGGCCTACAGAGAATTTCACTGTAACATCGGCTAGGCACTGGCTGCTGAGAACAGCCCCAGCTTCAGTGCTCGGCAACATCCTTTCGCCTCACGTGCCTCAAGATGCAGAAAGTGTGGCTGGACGGAATTAAATATTTACATACTGTTCCGTTTCGGAGAGAAGGGAAAAAATGTGCTTAGAAGAAAGTTATTGAAGATCATCAAACCATTAGCTCTTTGCTGTCAGCCACAGAAGAACGATGACAAAGGGACTACCGTTGTTTGGAAATGTCACAGTCAGACACACACACGACCTTCCTTAGCACCACAGTGTGTAACTGGAGTTTCCCTTGTCCAAGAGAGGTCTAGTGGTCTGAGCTACCTAAAAATTCAAGTACCACAAAAGGAGGCATGGATTTCTTGGACGGGACACCTAAACCCACGAGAGCAGCTATTGCCGCGATTTCGTCCTCAGAATTTCAAGTTAGCTGTCCAGTAAATGCTCTGCTGCTAAAAAAAATTTTTTTTAATAAAGCAAACCACTAGACTTTAGTAGAAAACAGGTTCATAAATCATTAGTTAAGACGCTAGCTGGGAATCTTAGTTTGTTCTATTTGAAACAAAAGGATATAAATACCTTCAGTCTATCAAGTGACATTAAGTTGAATGATCGTGTATGGATAATGCAGGGAGTCTGAGTTGGGAGCGATTTGCTGGCAATAAGGTCAGTTTTCAAGGGATCACACGGACTGCTTCACACGCACAAGCTGGCTTAATGCTCACGGTTTACCAGCTGAGAAAGGTGGGGCTGATCATATGAGAACCACATGCCCAGGATTACTCAGCTCACCAAGCAAAAGAAAAAACTTGACAACAACAGCAACACAAACTTCTCATTCTGTAATTGGTTCACACTCATTAATGAATTCAGGGTTGTATTGGCTGTCATCTTTACAGTTGCAGATGGACAGGTGTGAGCCAAACACCTGAGGATAGTTGTTGTCAGGTCCCATCAAGTCGGTTCCGACACAACGCGACTCTAACCAGCACGGAATGAAACACTGCGCGTCCTGCACCACCCGCCAACTGTTCCCATGCCGGAACCCACTGATGCAGCCACTGCGTCAATCCATCTCTCCGAGGGCCTTCCTCTTTTTCGCTGCCCTTCCACTTTACCAAGCACGATGTCTTTCTCCAGGGACTGCTCTCTCTTGACAATATGTCCAATGTAAGACAAAGTCTTGCTAACCTTGTCTCTAAGGTAAGGTGACCAGACGTCCTGCTTTTGGTGGGACAGTCCCGATTGTTAACAATTTGTCCCGCGTCCCACGGTGTTTTAAAAAAGTCCCGATTTTTGGAAAGAATGCATGACAAACTAGGGTATACGGTTTTCAGCAGCCATGTGGCTATATTGCCAGGATATGAGCTTTATCAATGGTGTCCCGCTTTACCAATGTGAAAATCTGGCCACCTTACTCTAAGGAGCACTCTTCCAAGACAGATCAGTTGGTCCTTTTAGCAGTCCATGTACTTTTAATACTCTGTGGTACAGTTCAGATGCTTTGCTTCCTTTTTAGTCATCCTTAGTCAGTGTCCAACCTTCCCAAGCTTATGAGGCAGGGGCAATGGAAAATTCCGCAGCTTGGGTGAAGTGGACCTTAGTCCTCAAAGTAACGTCTTTGCTTTTCAATGCTCTAAAGAGGTCTTGTACAAAAAATTTACCTTATTGTCTTTTGATCTCTTGACTACTGCTTCCATGAGCACTGATTGTGGATCCAAGCAATACAAAATCCTTGACAACTTCACTTTCCTCCATTTATTTATTTTTTTCTTTTAAAAATAATTTTATTGGGGGCTTATACAACTCCTATCACAATCCATACATCCATCCATTGTGGCAAGCACATTTGTATATTTGTTGCCATCATCATTCTCAAAACATTTTCTCTCTACTTGAGCCCTTGGTATCAGCTCCTTATTTTACCCCCTCCCTCACGAATCCTTAATAATTTATAAATTATTATTATTTTGACATGTCTTACACTGTCTGATGTCTCCCTTCACCCAGTTTTCTGTTGTCTGTCCCCCAAGGAGAGGGTTCTATGTATATCCTTGTGATCGGTCCCCCCTTTCTACCCCACCTTCCCCTTCCCCTCCTCCCACCTTCCCCTTCCCCTCCTGGTATTGCTTCTCTCATTATTGGTCCTGAGGGGTTTATCTGTCCTGGATTCCCTGTGTTTCCAGTTCTTATCTGTACCAGCTCAGGGAGAGGAACATGTCTGATCCGAGCACCAGGAGCAAATGAAGGGGGAGGAAGAGAGAGTGGAGCACATGCTGGTGCACCAAGCCTTGAGGACAATATCTCTGCTCAGAGCAGCCAAAGCAGAGAGAGGACCATATGGCCGGCCTCACTATGAGACATGACATACCTCACTGACCCATAGACCTGCAGGGGAAATCACTGGAGACACAGTGTGGGAATTGTGCCCGATCTGACCACCACACCGAGGTGAAATACTAAGGACTTACAGCTCTTTCTCCATTTATTATGATGTCACCCTTTTGGTCCAGTTGTGAGGACTTTGGTCTTCTTTATGTTGAGTTATAATCTATATTGAAGGCTGTGGTTCTTGATATTCATCAGGAAGTGCTTCAAGTCCTCTCCACTGTCAGCAAGAATAGTTGTGTCACCTGCATACTGCAGGTTGATAGTAAGCCTTCCTCGAATCCTGATACCACATTTTTCTTCATATAATCTAGCTTCTCTGATGATCAGCTCAGCATATAGATTGAACAAGTCTGGTGAAAGGCTACAACCCTAATACACATCTTCCCCGATTTTAACCCATGCAGTAGTCCCTTGTTCTGTCTGCACAGCAGAGCAAGGTTGTGTTTAGTAGTCAAACACAAACCACACCACCACCAAGGACCTTCAGTTTTAGCTCAGCGTCTTGAATTTTGTTCCCCAGGTATCATGTTGGTAAAGTAGGGGGTGGCAAAACAAACAAACCAAAAAGGATCCTCAATAAGATAGACTGGCCCTGTGACTGCACCAATGGGCTCAAACAGAAGAGTCGCCTGAGGACCAGGCCGTGGTTCCTTCTGTTGTACGTAAGGTCGCTCTGAGTAGGAACCAACTGGACGGCACCCAACAACAACAAAATAGGTGTCAACTCGGCTGGGCCATGAGTCTCAGTAACTGAGCCAGTTACACAAAGACACAATTTGGTGACTGTGTAATGATCCCCCATGATGTGATGTAATCTCATAAACCAATCAGTTGTAAAAGGATAAAGGGTGGAATGCAACAACCTTATTTCCATCACATCTTGATCCAATGTAAGGGGTTGGGGGGGGGGGGTAGCCTGAAATACCTTTTACTTCTTGTAAGGTAACAAGAGAGAGAAGTGAGGAGAAAGAGAGGCACCTACTAACATCAAGGACAACCAGGAACCCAGTGTGCTTTCAAACCAGGGTTTCAAAGGTTCCCAGGACCTCCTGGGACCAGGGGAGGATGGATGCCAAGATGCTAAAAGGGACAGTTTAGTTCCTCCTAAAGTGTGAGCCAACAGAGCATATGCCTTCCCCTAAAGTGGGTGCCATGAATTCTGACTTCTAAATGGTGCAATTCAATTCTGCTTCACCCAGTTGTGCAATTTCCATCATAGCAGCACTAGGTAACTAAGACATCTATTAAGCCTGGGACACAAGAACCCTGGTAGCACTATGGGCTAAGCATGAAGCTGATAATCACAGCACCATGGTTCAAATCCCTTGAAGATTAACAATCTCAAAAACTCTGTGTGAACTCATCAGGTGTCAAAATTGACCCAATAGCAGTGGGTTTGGTGTTTTGTAAGCTTGTGGCATTTTGTTTCCACAGCAAGAGGAAACTACTAAGTGAACCCTTCACCTTTCTCCGGCTGGTTTTGTGCTGTGTTTTAGGAATCCTTCCTTCTTCCAGTAACAACAGCAGAGTTGTTTCTGACGTTTTCTTCCAAAAGTTTGCTTTTCACCTTGGGGTCAGTAATCCATCTGGAACTTATTTGGGTGCTGAGAGTCACACAAAGGATTCTAAATAAGCCTTTTTCTATATAACATGCCAATTGGCTCAACGCCATTCCTCGTTGTCTTGTGACATGACCTGTGTCATCTACTGAATGCTGTAAGTAGGCCAGTCCCCCACTGTGCTCATCCACAGCTCTTTGGGCCCCGTGTACCATACCCACTGTCCTACTGGTTTCTGCTGTGACATGCTGTCTACACTTGGTGGAACAAGTGATCTTGTCTGCTGTTCTTCAAACCATCTTGGCTATTCTGAGCCCACGGCCATTTCCAAAATAACCCGAGGATCCGCTTCTCTTGTTTTATATACCCTCTCCCCAACCCCAAAGACAAATATCTGGCAAGCATTTTGCTGGGAATTGTGTTAATTTGGGGAAGACTCCATCTTTACAGGCAGGTGACCCTCGGTTTGTGGCGGCACTGCTGACTCAGCACCCGAACATAATGAATCCGTCTCGCCAATTCTTGCTCTGCTTCTGAACTCCACGCAGTCGCAGGCATAGTTCATTTGAAGCTTTTCTCCGGTCTCCCAGGTTAGAGCGTTTCTTTTGCTTTGCTTGCTTGCAGCTGCCAGAGTTGGATTATTACTTCAAAGGGGACGGTGGCAGTTACATAATTTCATGTCAACTCGATAAACAGGTCTAGGGGAGGCACATCTAGCTTGTCCATCAGGTCACAGCCTGATGATGCCTACCGAGCTCGTGCTGGGATGCCTGTGGGAGTAGGGTGAACCTGACAGTTCTCTACTTCATAGGTCAGTCAATTGCTGCTCACATATCCACCACTGAAAACACTCTGCTTCGTAAGACGGGATTCGTGGTGACCCAGCATCGACTTGACGGTGGTAACTGGTATGCTTTAAAACTCAAACCAACTCAGCCCAGAGTTGAGAACGAGCACCTGACTTAGTTGCTGAAACCCCCTGGTGAAAGCAAACACACCATGGGGTTCCTTCAGACCCCGTGAGTCCTGGGGCTGGATGTGCCTTTTAAAATGTCCTATTAACAATATTTGCAACGGCAGATTGCAAATACCTATTCTGTCTCTTTAGAAAACGAGGAAGACCCTCAACAAGATGGGCTGACACAGTGGCCGGAACAATGGGCCGGAACATAAGGACAACTATGAAGATGGCGCAGGACCGGGTGGTGTTCCCTGCTGCTGCACCCAGTGTCTCTGTGGGTGGGGACTGCCTGGACGGCGCCTAACCACCGCCACCACCGCCTTTTCTTCACAGGTGCGTTAACGGTGGCTTGGGTTCCCAAGGTCACGTTAGTGAGCAGCAGAGGCCTGGCCTATCAATTCAGTCTCTCCGTTTCTTCCCCTGTAAAATGAGAACAACAGTGCAAGCTATGCAGCCACGGACCTCAACAAGGTACAACCGAAAGTAAGGGACACAAATGCAAATCAGTCTGCAGCAAAACTGTCATTTGCAAAGCATTCTGATCCGTCTTAAAGATTCCTTAAAGACTTAAGGAGATCAGTCTTAAAGACTCCTTAGCATCATACCTTTAGGACAATAGTACCTACACGAAATCTGAGCATTTCTGCATATGCCAACCACATGCAGCACTCAGAATCCTGTAGTCTTAACCAATGAAAGCGAAACCAAAAGATTAGCCTGCATATGTGTAAAGTCAACTAATCATACAGAATTATTTCCTGGAAAATCCATGCAGGATAGGGGCCAAGGCAGGGGTATCAAGAACTTCACAGTAAAAGGTGCACTGATCTCTACATAAGGACACAATGAGGGGAGAAGGAGCATAGACCGAGTCTAGATGCAGAAGCGACACAAGCCTGGAGGATGCACACAAGAGGGGCACTGGAGGGTGGGAACACCTTCTTTGACATCTACTCTAATTTCATACTCAGATATCTACCTTCTGGTGACTAGTTCCGCTCCCCGTGGTCTTCCCGAGAAGGAGAAAGATGCGCAGGGCAGAGTTTTCAAGAATTCCGGTCACATCTCCACCTACTGCAAATTACTAGGCTGACTTTCTGGGTGAAAAATCAATCTCTCCAGGCCTTATTAACTCAAGGTTATGGAGCTTCCAGGGTAAGACATGTCTGATCTTGCAAAGTTCAGGCCTCTTCAAGGTCAATCTGTGAGTTAGTTGCTAAGATGCCCAACCTCACTTCACATTTCTTCCATTTCAAAAGCTACCCAAGATCAGTTTTAACAAAGATGTTTGAAAGAGTCAAGCATCCCTTGCAAAGCATGAGGAGAACTAATATGCTGCCCTCACATACAGTGTTGGCTAAAGGTAGTCTTTAACTCGTTCTCGCAGCGAAAAGGCTATAGACAGAGCCTTTCTGGCTGGAGCAGCCATCAGATAAGCCAAGATGAATGCCCACAAGTACCTCCAGGAGCTATGGAGAAGGAAGGAGTCCACTGTGAAGTGCTTTCCTCTGCAGGTCCACTTTTGGCAGTGCCACCAGCTCCTCATGCTGCACTGGGTGCTCCACTCGGCCCAGGCCAACAAGGCATGCAGACTGGGCTGCAAGGCTAAGCAACATTATGTCATCGATCGTATTCACCTGCGTCATGGTGGCCAAAAATGCCCGGGGCCCAAGAGTGCCACCTATGGCAAACCTGTCCACCATGCTCTTATCCAGCTAAAGTTTTCTCGGAGTCTTCAGTGTGTTGCTGAAGAGCGAGCTGAATGCCATTCTGGGGCCCTAAGAGTCCTGAATTCTTACTGGGTTGGTGAAGATTCCATGCACAAATTTTTCGAAGTTAACTTCATTGATCCATGCCATAAAGCTATCAGAAGAAACCCTGACACCCAGTGGATCACTAAGCCACTCCACAAGCACAAAGCGATATAGGGGTTTGGTGGGAGGGAGAGCGGGGGAGAGCGGGGTGAAGAGTGAGCTATAGATGTGAAGTTCTTCTCAAGAGGCACCTCCACCCACTCTGGATTCTACAGGATCAAAGCCGTCACCCTTAACTACACATTGCAATTTACACAAAATCAATCCTTTTACCTCTCTCTGTGTATTTTCACTCTCACTTCATGAACATAAAATAATCATACATTTTCAAAGTAAAATAGTAAAGCTCATTGATTTTGAAACTGAAGGTTTCTCCCTAGAATTTCAGCTCATAGATTAGGAGTCCTGCAAAATCCTTTCGAGATTTTGAGATCTTAACATTCAGAACTACATGTTTTCCTCTTAAGATCATATCAAATCATTGTCTGACTTGACCATTAGAAAGTGCTTAGAAATTCCTTTCAGACAGAGTAGGACTGCCAGCTCACACGGGGGTACGGGGTGGGGTGGGGGTGGGGGTGTTGCTGCTTCCAAGACAGAAGTCCTAAAGTAAGGAAACCAAATCAGAAGCTTCTGACATGGAAATTTGCCCAAAGTGTTGGGAATCACACTAAAAGCCAAAGTCCTCTTTGTGGTAGAAAGAAAAGTCCTTCCTGATCAAAGCGGTCTACTTTTCCAATGCTTTCTTCAGCCTTGACGATGGCTGCCCAGACCCGTCTTTATCTTACCAGTTTTCCTATGACAGATAACGCAACAGCAGCCACGCACTCTTTCCAAGTTGGTGACTAATGGGCCACCGAGGGACACCAAGAATTTTATTTCTCCTCTTGTTCCTCAGCCAAGATTCTATTCTTAGCCAGATACCAAGAATACGCTTTCCAAGAATGCCTTGTGAAGTAAGACTGCATTGCTTAGCTTGAGAGACAAAAGATCCCTGCCTGGCCATTCTCCCTGCTCTGGCTGAAAGGGCTTCTCATCTGCTCGGTGTAAAGCTCAGCTTCGACTACACATGTCCCCAGGAAATCATCACAATGACACATCTTCAATACAACCCAGATCCCCACTACTTCCTATGCACACCGCCCTGCTGACCAGGAGCTGATGTCCCACAGCAATGTTATCCTTCTGCTCACACTGGACATTCTTAAGGTCTATTGCTTTTTTTCTGAAAAGAAACCAACATAACTTCAGAGTCCTACCAGGTAGGAAAGCCCTTGACTCTACAAACCAAGGCTTAAAATCACTAATAAAACTTTAATGCATTTTACAAAGCCTTAAAATGGCATTGTAAAACGGAGCAGCAGGCAGATAGATGGTCCTACAACTTTTTATCTACTAGAAGAACAAGACTAGTTATTATTTTTCTTAATTTACCTATAATCGTAACAACAGTGATGGAAACAGCTAGTATGTATTGACAGGTCATCAATTGTTGGGTCTTTCACAAGAATCATCTTGCTTACTATCCCAGCAGTCTCGTAAAGGTTATTCCTTTTTAAAGGTAAGAAAACTGTCACACTCAATCTGGCTTCAGGGTGAAAATGAGTTTCAAGTGCAGGTCCATACTCCTCTAGTTTGGGTTTTGCATGCATGCTAAATAAAGTATACAAATTAATGGAAAAGATCACTGGGGGGAAAAACAAAAAAATTTATGACTCTGTTGGGAAACCTCAAGTTTATTGGTATAAAATATCAACAAGCAAATTACTCAAACTCTGATATTCTCTCTGCCTCCTTTCTTCCAACTTCACGTTATCATTAGTCATAACCAACTGGACCAGAAAAGAGCCTTAACAGAAATGCACTCAGCGAAGTACTCACATAGCCAATGGGCTTGAGGGATTTGACTTCGGACGCTGGGCAGCCACAGGAAGTAAGGTCAGCATAGAGGCCTTCTTCTAACACACACTGATGAACAGAGCTGTCCCCTTGGTAATACAGGAGCCAACTGTAAAGGCAAGCAGTAAGACGTTCAGGCAAAACACATTCAGACTCAGCATCATGCTAAGAGTCAGCATCATGCTGGGAGTCATAAAGTACCAAAGACGTGTCAAAGCAACAGTTACTGCATCACTTTCTGAATGCCCACCAAGTGCTAAGCACCACCAGGCACTTGACATCTATTGTTTGCTGACTTCTCAATAACTGTAGGACACAGAAACAAATGTTCGATTCTGTACATACTAAAACTAAGGCTTATAGTTAGGTAATTTGCCCAAGGCCTGCCAACTATTGGACAACAGAGCTCAAATTTAAAAGACAACATGTTGTAAGCTAAAGGCATCCCTTCACTCAAGTGACTTAAAGGTACCGAGTCTGAGATTCAAAAACCTGCTGATTAAGTATGTGAAGAAATCAAAAGTTTTTTAGTGGTGTAGAAACATACATTCTTTCCCTGTCCGTAGTCTAGTTGAAAAAGGAGTCAGGTAAATGAAATTAGCTGATAGCAAAGCCAGAAACCAGAGGAGTTGGAATGGGATCTGATTAGACTTACAGAATGACCGTGATATTTGAAGCAGAGCAGTAAAAAGTACTGATCCAGATTTCGGGACAAATATGGGCTGTGATTGGTCTGTGATAAATACAGACTGAAAGTTTGCAAAGCAAATCATCAGTTTTACAGTCAACAATGTATCCATACTTTCTTTCAAGTCATTCACGTCAGTCCTCTCAATGTCCACTCACCATCTCGCGTCCTCCCTGTCCTCCTGTGTCCATTTCTCCTTTCCTAACCCCCTGTCTCTGGGGAAATGCTAGCCTTTTGATCCGAAATGGCTGATTATTCTAACATAGGGGTGAATTCACTTCCACACCTGAAGACCAATAGTCCTGGGGGGCCAATCCGTCTTTCATTCATTCACTGTCATTGAAACAATCAATACTGACTCATAGTGATCCTAAAGATCAGAACAGAACTGCACTTGTGAACCCACAAGTGTCGGATCTCTGCAATCGTTATGAGTCAGTATTGATTCCAATAGAAAAACCTCTTTCTTCTCTCTCCTCTCCTCTCCTCTCTTCTCTCTTCTCTCTCTCCTCTCTCCTCTCTCTCTCTCTCTCTCTCTCTCAAGAGCTGCTAGTGGCTTCGACCTGCTGACCTTGCCGGTAGCAGCCCAACCTGACCAACAACTGCGTCCTCTTTCATAATTCTGAGGTCTGGTCTACATTTTTCTCTCCTTCCAGATGGGGAGCGACAAACAGTTGCACCTTAGATGGCTGCTCACAGTCTTGTAAAACCTCAGTCTCCACTCCCAAAGGAGGATGTAGAATGTTGTTGTCTTTGTAAATGTTGCTACCCCAACTGACCTCGATGCCAGTCAAGACCATGGTCCTGAACCCCTGGGGCCAGCAACTCACTCCTTCAAGTTATACTACCTATACTATTATACTACCTCAACTCTCCTCAAATTAAAAACAAATCCTCAATAACAATGTCCTCAGATTAAAAAAAGAGAGAGAAATGGATAAACCCAAGTTATCTTGAAGGAAAACCTGGAAGGCTTTGATTAGTTCTAAGAAAGGTATTAGAAACACAGGACACATTTTGGCCCTGAAAATCCTGCACAGGTTCACAGACATGTGAGAAAGGTTCAGCATTCTTCTGTAGTTGGAAGAACACAAAAAGGTCTTTAGTTTTGTTTTGTTAATGAAAGAAAAGAAATCACGGTTCTGACAGTCAGGCTATGGTACTGGGAAGTCCCAATACTGAACTTAGCATCCTCATGTGTGAAATGGTAAAAAGTATTTTAAAGGATTAAAAGAAAAAAAATAAGTACTTTGTGTGTTTGGATAAAACAGTAGGTATGCTGTAGGGCAACGAACCTACAATATGAACATTCAAAATACTTAGAAATAATCTAAGAGCAATGAGAATAAAAGCATCTAAATGCCTCCTAATGTTAGTGAGTCAGCATCCTGGTGTTTTCCTATCACACAGTGACCTAAACTACACATTCAGCAGAGACTATCACATGGTTTGCAGTTGCACGGTACATAAAATAACAGTAATAGTAATGAAAAATTTTTTAATATATTGTGTGTGCAAACACACAACTAGGACATTTCATATCTCTCTGAATTACAACAGCTATTAAACAAAGCTGAAAATAGTCAAGTGCACTTACCAGCCCCTAAGAACTTTAAAAGACGATGGCGTGAGTGAAGTCAAATCACAAACTTCTTTCGTGAAATCTACGCATTCACCTTGGAACCCTGGCTTATGAAAAGCTTTGAGCTACAAGAACAACAGCAATACATCAATAATGAAACAAAATGGTTGTCTGATTTTAGCATGAAAACCTTTACACTCACATACTTATAAAAATAGACAGAGGCTGTTCAACTAGTGCTTTATCTAATATCAAAGAAAAGAATAGTAAGGATGACTTACTCCTTATCTACCATTTTCATTCAACTCATAGGTCAGATTCTGGGTACCAAATCCACTGTCATCAAGTCAATTCTGATTCATAATGATCCCAGGGGACACAGTAGAATGGCCCTCACAAGGTTTCTAAAGCTGTAAATCTTTACAGAAGCAGACTGAGATTTCTTTCTTGGCTGGTGGGTTCGAACCAGTGATGATTCAACTATCAGCCCAGTGCTCCACTCCTACACCCCAGGGCTCCTGGACTCAGAGGCCTGGGGAGTAGTTCTATCTGTAAGAGTGCAACCCTACAGGACCAGTGGTGTGAGTGGTGATACTGGGAGGGTAGAGGGAGAGTGGGTTGGAAAGAGGGAACCGATTACAAGTAACTATATGTGACCTCCTCCCTGGGGGATGGACAACAGAAAAGTGGGTGAAGGGAGACGTCGGACAGGGCAAGATATGACAAAATAACAATTTA